TACGGGGACGCTCCCGAGCCGATTGCCGAACCCGATGGCGGCCTTCCTTCTCAAGCACATCACCCATGACAGCCGCGAGATGTCTCTGCACCTTTCGAGCGAGGCCGTCCGCGAAACGCACAGGCGCGGACTGTCCATGCGGCACCTGGACGAGGGTGGCAAAATGGCCTGCGACCTGATCCGCCACAGCATTCGCCAACACCGCGCCAGGACTGAGACCCCGAGCCAGGGCTTCGGCGACAGACAGGTGGCTCGGAATCTGAACGAGTGCCACACCGTCCAGGCGGGACAGAGCGCTCTGGACACGCCCCCACAAATCGGCGTGGGCCAGAACGCGCCCCTGGAGGCCAGCCTGGATGTGCTCAAAGCCCCGAGCCACGTCAGCCGAATCGCACGCGTGCCCGAGACTCGAGCTGCTCTGGGCGGCCTCCAGGAAAACAACGAGAGCCCACAACTCTCCTCGGTTGACAGACTGCTTACCAACAATGCCACCCCACTCACAAACTTTAAACAAGAATCGGCCGAAGCCTGCGGGGAGGTTAAAACATCATGCTCAAAAACCGCGACACCCACGACACCCTCCTCATACGTTTGTCCCTCGAGAACTCCCCCCCGCTCGCGTCTCCAGCGCCCCGGATGCGAGTTCCCCCGCCAAGACGCGGAAACACACCAGAAGCGACGGAGAGCGGCTCATCGGGAGGAGGAGGCACCTCGGTCCAAGATCGGGGCGCGAGGCCGCGAGGCCAGAAACAAGGCGCATCGATGGAGCCGGCCGCGGCCTTCCTGGCGAAAGCCTGATCGATCTCCTGAAACTCGTCATTGCACGGGCATTCCCAGAAACTGTGGATGCCCGTCTCAGGACCTGTGCCACATCTGGGGCAGGGCTCTTCGGTCTCGCCCCCACGCGCCAGGATGCGAGCCCGCGTCCCCCCCCCGTAAGAACGGAGCGGATGAGACCCCATTTCTGGCCAGACTTGCGACGCAAGGGGGCCGGATGCTTCCACTCCGCCGTTAAATCCACGCCATCTTCGGCACCGCTCCCGTGTCTGTAGGTGGCAGCGGCCTTCCACATACGGTTCTCTATATACTGCGAGCGACCTCATCCTTGAAGTCCGACGTCATTAGCCTGGGATCGGAGCTCGTCGGGAACAGCAAAAACATCGCCCCCAGGAGCCACCCGAGACCAAGGGCCTTCGAGCTTCCATCCCAGGTCCAGCATCGTCGCCACAACCGCCGAGACAGGCCCACGTATATTATGCCACCGGCGGGAGGGGCCCAAATCAGACATCCGAGCGACCGTGTCTCCTTAGTAAGTGAGCATGCGTGCCGCACTTTTTACTGGCAGAGAGGCCACGATCTGAAACCACGACTCCAGCAACTGGAACACTGCTGAAAAGGCGGGGCCCTTTCTCCGAAACTCCACAGCCAGAAGAGTGGTTAAACATTGTCCCGCCGCGCCGCGGGCGAGAGAGCTGGCCGGGGCTCGTCGCCACTTGTGGAGGACCGAAGGCGCGACCCCAAAGACCTTCCAGGCGTAGGGCGCCCGCGGCAAAGCCCCAGTGAGGATCAACCTCGCCCCGATCTTGCGTGGAGCCACCGGCGCCAGCTTGTTAATTCGGACGGCTCGCCGATGAGCCTGGTTCAAACGCTTGGAGTGTCGGGGCTCGGCCTCCGTGATCCCGCTACCTCGCTCGATGCCGAGATCGGCCGCAACCGAGGCCACCTGGGCCCGGATGCCATTCGATCCTAGCCCAGCTTGGATTGCTCGTGCCACTGAGAGCTCAGACGCCACGATCGTAGATTTGCTGGCGAGCTGAAGTCGCTCACCACATCACAACCTTCGACAACAGCGGAACCAGCGCGGACTAATTCACGAATTACATCTCGCCTGAACCCCTCGGCGCGCTGCGTGACGTCGTCGATCCACGTGCGGAGGGTAACGAGAGCACTACTGGCACAAGCCTTCTCGCAAATCAAAAACATCTGGCATTTCGAAAAATCGGGGACCCTCCGGGCACCCGCCACGAGGCCCCCATGGGGAATGATCGGCGGGGCGTAGCAGACCTCGTCCCGTAACAACCTGGGCCCCATGTGGAGGATGCCCTCAAGGGCCAGGGGGTGCGGCGGAAAATCAAGATCGATCGCGTGGGCGACACCCCGCTCTCATCTGATGGTGTCATAAAAAGCTTCGACATCCTAGCAAATCGAAGCTGAGCAATATTCAGGGAGAAGCGACGACAAAGCCGCTTCGTCCGCAAAACACCTGAGCAAAGCCTCCCGCAGAGCGCTGTTGCCTCTGACGGCGGCGCCCCAAGGACCAGAGCGAGCCGAGGCCCGCGCCTCCGCAGGCCGAGACCGCATGCGGCTCCACAGGCGACCCAGCCAAGTGAGCAAGCCTATGGCGCGGTCCCTGCGCACATCAGGTTTGCGCAGCAGAACAATGGGAGCTGGCGGCCACGCGGCCGCGCGACCTGATACTCAATAGCGTGAAACAAAGCAAGCAAATCTGAACGGCCCGCCTCAGGCAGCCACCAGACGTCGCGCTGCTCCACCGCCTCGATGCCGCGTGATTTCCGAGGAGGTATGTGCCGAAGAGCATCTTCCAGCTGATCCAACGTGAGAGGGTCCAGCGTGCCAGCCATGGCCAGCGGTCGGGCTCGAGACAAAACCCTCAGCGCTTCCTCGTCATCGTAGCCAGCAGGCGTCCATAGCTTGCTCCAAACTCTGGCCTTGGACTCCATCACCGACGCTGCATCCCAAGACGCACCCCCGTCAATCCTGAGCTCGCTGACCTCCGCGGTGGCGTCGCGGACATGCCTGTGAAGAGCCTCGCAACCCCGCGCAGCCTGCTGATGAACCCAGTCCCGAGAAGACTGGTGCCGCTGACGAGCGACGGCGCGTCGGGCCCGATCGGAAGCCTTCCTCGCGTCCTCAGCAAACTGCTTGATGGGCTCGGGCGTGGCATGCTCCAGGCATCGCAGACCTCGAACCCATCGGTCATGACGGCGAGCTGGGAGCGGCACTATCTGCGAAATCGGAATGGAACCAGTCATCTCCTTCAACAATCCTCGCAGGTGTCGTGCGCGAGGGAGATGTTCCTTGCCCCTCTGGCCCACCAGCTCGTCCAAGAAGCTAGCAGCATATGCCCGCCACGTCGAGCTGGTGTCGGACGTGGCCAGGTGCGGCTTTGCCTCCCTTATGCTCGCCAAGGCGAGGCTCCCTGACCTGGGCGCGCCCGCGGTGCTGCTTGCGAACCAGCGGGTCAACCTTATACAATTCCAAGTAATGCAACTCCATGGTGCTGACCCAGTCGGCGAACTGCGCACCCAAAGACAGAGCCTCTGTGCCTGCAGCCCTGAACGCCAGCGAGTTAGAGATGAACTCAGGAACCGTGGCTGAAGAACGAGAGGGCGCCACCTGCTGCCACGAGAGGTTCTTCATGCCCGCCGTCCAGTCACGCTGGAGAGATGCGTAGGTGTCGAGGTCGGGTTCAGAGTCGGAGGCGGCCACCTGCTCAGCCTCCCCCTCAGGAACATCCGTGTCCTCGTCGTCCGTGAAGAAGTCATCCTCGTTCTCCTGTCACAGGGCGCGCTGCAGGGGAGGTGGGCTCGTAATGGCCAACCTGCACCTGGGGCCCCACTGCGGGGGGGGCGGTGTGATATCAGGTTGCGGCCGCGCCGCCCTCCAGGCCTCAGCCTCGGCCTTCGCTCTAGACCCCTTGCTGGAAGGGTCAGCCTTGATCTTGGGCCGAGAAGGATGCGGGGAAGCCCGAGGAATGTGGAGCATCCAAGCCCGCGCCCTGCTGGCGTCGAAAATCAGCGTGCGCACCAGGCCGCAGCGCGCCGTGCCAGCCTCTCCGATCGCCGAGAAGTCCGCCTGAAGTCCAGCGATCCAAGCCAGCGCCAAGGGCGATGCCACAACGAAATCCAGCATGCGACCTCGCCCCAATGTGCACGTGTAGTCCGTATTGCTGGGCAAGACGACGGAGCCGTTCACTGAGGCCAGCCATCCAGGCGAGTCTCTTGGGGCGTCATATTCCAATCGCCGATCACGGGCCACGGCCCCTTGATGGCTGCCACCAGCGTGCCCAAGTTTGCCTGCTTGGGGGCGTTGCCCTTGGGCTCCGCTGACGCCGTCACGTAAACTCCCACCACCATCAGGGACGGGCCCTGAGCCCGCAAGGCCATGGCCACCATATCCTGGAAATCAATGGCAGGTTGATCGCGTAGACCGCCCAAATCTCGCAGGCCCACTTGATCAGTAGGTGACGACGCAAGGTGACGAAGGGGCTGGGGGCAGAACTTCTTCAGCGCCCCCGTGGTGATGCCACCCGCCTTGGCCTTGCCCTTCGACTCGTGTGCCGCCGGTGATACGCCAGTGTAGCCAGCCTTACGCCAATCGTGCAAAAGGTCATGGGGGCTGCTCGGTAGCGCGTGGGTCTCGGGGAAGATGCGCACATCCGCCCCCCCCCCCCCCCTGCGCGCCGACCGCGTCGCTGGCCCCCAGCCCCCCGAGTTGCGCGTGTACAAAGAGCGCCTGGCCCCCAAGGTGCCGCCAGCACTCGGTCCTGACAACAGTTTTTCCCTAGCCGCATCGAGCTCCAGTGAGGGCGAGAATGGGGGCGCGACTCCAGCCGCATCCCCCCGTCGAGGCGGGCCTGCCCCGCTCGCTGTTTGCCCCTTGGGTGCACCTGGGGGCAGGCCCCAGCCAAAAACTTGGCGACTGAGCCCAACCATTCGCGGTGTTTACCTCGTGTGCGCACCGGTGGGCTGGGGCTTGCGTTCTAACGGCCGACGGACACGGAGACGCTGTCGCCGCACACGTCGGACCAGTAGTCGCGCGCGACAAAGGCACCGTCGCCGACGGCGCAACCGAAGAACATGTAGGGGCCGAACTTGGCAAGGTAGGCGGGCCTGCACCTCGACCACACATGGCCCCGCCAGAGCCGAGGGGGCGCTGCAGGCTAAAGGCAGGACGAGTCTGACGCCGCCGAGGCCGAC